CAGGTCTTGAGTACTATTACTGCCACAAACCCTGGACCAAGGCACAGTGATTAGTGAATGGGACGATTCTATATGCTTATTAGTATAGAAATCCAACTATATATAGATATCTGGTTCTCTTCTATCTATGAATCGCTTAAAAGTTTGAAAGCGATATCATCTGCCCGCTTGTCTAGCTTCATCGCCGCAATAGCTGTTAATAATACCATTTCTACATAGTATACATCGCAAGGTACAAACAGAAGGAGTTGCTTCTCACGATAGTTCAAAATGCCACCGGACTTGATTGTAGCAACTTTTTCACCAGACGCCTTGTATAAGGACAACCCAGACCCTAACAAAGAGTCACCCTTCCATACCAGACGGCCATAACTTGGATGTTCAACGATGAACTTGGTACCGGTGGTGCTATTTCGGATGAAGAACTGCGAGCCGCGTAGGGACAAGTTCATAGATAAGCCCATAAAAGCGGCTTTGCATTCTCCGACAACTTGTTGCGGATTCGGTTCGCCTCGGTATAGGATGATTGTTTTCTTGCTTGTCTGAATCGTGTATGCTGCAAGGCCGTCTTGGGGTTGGTCGATAGGGGAGACATTGGTTGTGTCTGAGTCTTGCGAGCTCTGGCGGAGTATGAAATGATGTGTTGGGCTAGGTTGAGTGCTGCTCGTTGAAGAGGATGTATAGTAAAGCAATTTGTTTGCGAGTTCGTTCATTGTGAGGTGGAATGATGGCAGTTTGGAGAGTGGGCGTTGTATTTGATGTAGTGGATCATTTGAGAATCAGTGTTAACGAGCCTTAAGTAACCTATAAAAGTGGCTGTGCTCACTACCCTTGTTTACTTTACCACACGATTACGTTGTTGAACTTTGTAGAAATGAGGCGAAGCTCATTTAGCTTTCCTTAAAAGGTAATACAACCGTGAGGCTGAGGCCATGGCTGTCACAACTAACCTACTTCAGTAAGTTCTGGTATAATAATAGTTAATATCATGATATGATTGCAATTTTATCACCCTACTACAAGCCATGTGCGGCGTATGGATGTACTGCATGCTGGAGAGCTTCTTCCGCTTGCATGCCAGTTGTCATTGGTCTCTTCGCCAAACAAGATCCGTGCCTGCGAATCAGACTTTATTAGCATAAAGGGCGTCATATCGGAATAATAACCGGTAGATAGGCGTTCTATTATGTTGGAACGACGAATGTTAGAACGCAGCGCTCCAGGAACGGCCCATCCCTAGGACTTATTATTCCTTATATAATCACTTTAATATATAAAACGCATTTATTAGCACTTTCATAGAACTTAGCTCACTAGCTATCAATAAGACTTCTTTACATCAATAAGCCTAACACGTATTACTTAATCATAAAGCGACGTAACACTTCAAATCGCTCAGCATCACGCCCTACGTTATCTGCCAACATAAACCTGGAATGGACTAGTTTATCCCTTGGAAACCACAACCGTCACACCTGCAGTATAGACTAGACCCCGACTATATTAATAAAGATGCCTTTATAAATAATATCCTTATTATCCCAACTAACTAAACCTGGCATTACCTGCTAACCACTAGCTGCCTTATTATAATTATAAAGCTAAATAATAAATTATATTAGCATAATATCTTAATTATTAGCACTATTAACTAGAAACCGGCATATTATATTAGATATAATTTTAAAGTAATCTAGGCTCTCCTCCTTAGCCCTTTTAGAAACAACCGCTAATAAAATACACCGCCCTTCCATAGCCTCTCATCACATCTATTATTAATCGTCACTGACGTTGTACCACGTTCTAGCCCCAGATCCCATCCATGTTCATTGTAGAGTTTACGCTCAGCTATGTAGCTCACAATGTGTCCAGGAATTGAGTATAATTCACCTTGGGAAATGGCGTCATGTCATATTTGTGTTCCCATCTGGACTACCTATAGTAGAGCTCCTCTCCCGTCTATTATTTTGTGAGCGCTATTGCCCCAGTGTTGCGATGGAATTTAACAAGTCTTGTATCCTGCTGCCATTCTCGACCGCCTTCCTAAACGATGGGTTGGCTGATTACCCCGCCCCTCAAACTATGCTGACCACTTTGAGTGATGTTCCAGGACTATAGACAGATTACTCATATGGCTAAGATCGCTTGAACAAGAGGCGCAAAGTCTGGTGTATATGATACTCCCCCGTGCGCCTCCAACGTACCCTCATGACAGCCGATATACCAGCCACTCCAAAGCCGCATAATGTCTTCCGCGTTAACAAAGCCGTTGGAAACCACGCCATGCCAGCCAACAGGACCTCCATGTCCAGTGTGTCATTCACTAGTCCTGGAATATGACACAACAATTAGAGGCTTGACTATACCTATGAGCGACCTCAAGGAGTCAGCCAATGCTACTCCATGTTACACTTGTGCTCTCTTATGGGAGGCGATTAGCACAACTGTGAAAGAAGAAACAGCTATGCCAGAGGTGCTATATGAATCAATACTCGTCGAAAGCAAACCGCCAAAACACCCGGGGCCTATGGTTGTCCACCTTTATCCTGATCCCGTTGCACATGCGATCAGTGAAAAGACTTTTCAGCTATACACAACTGATGGTAGGTTATGTAAGTCCCTGCCTGAAAATCACGATATCTGACAGAATGCAGATGACGTGTCTTTGCCCTGGGACTTGATCGGCCAGGGTTACCATATACCAGAATACGGGTTATCCCCAAGCTGTGTGTCATTGGCGCGCGAGTGGCTCAACGCATGTGGCCACGCCCAAGGAAAACATGCGAACTGTACCAAGACCACCATTTCAACGCTACCAACACGGGTTATATCGGTTGGAAATGACACAGCATCGCCCAGGCTTGCGGTTACTGAGCCAAACCAGCAAGCACACTATGCAGCTCTGAGCCACTGCTGGGGAGGAAGCACGCCGACAATGACCACTTTATCTAATCTAGAAGCATACACTATTTCGCTCCCTACCGATCTTCCACAAACTTTTGAAGATGCTCTAAGAGTGGCTCGAGCGCTGGAGATACCGTACATATGGATAGACTCCTTATGTATTATCCAGGATTCTCCAGCGGACTGGGAACGTGAGGCCTCGCGAATGGCTCAAGTATATGCCAACGCCTATGTGACCATATTTGCCGATGCTGCGCCGGACAGCATTTCTGGCTTTTTGTCGCCACCGTCACGAAAGGCTCCACAAAGGTTCGTTGTGCCATGCAATAATGACCAGTCCGGCTCAGGGGTCGTACATATCCGAGAGCGTGGGTTCCTAGCCCAGCAACTCCCGTATCATACATGGAATAGTAGAAGAAGTGGTTCAGGTCAAAGCAAGCTATCAACGCGAGGTTGGGTGTTTCAGGAACGGTTACTGTCACCGCGGACCCTCCACTTTTCGCAGAACGAGATGGCTTGGGAATGCAGATCTGTCTGCGAGTGCGAATGCTCAGCGACGTCTCTGAGGACCCTTCGCACCACAAGCGTCATGAAGCATTTCCTTCATCCTCAAGATCCCGATGCTTCCTTGGCTGAGGCGAATTGGAGATCTGAAATCGTCCCGGCATATACGGAGCTAGACCTCACCTTTGCGACTGATCGACTGCCTGCCATCCAAGGCCTGGCTAACGCTACCCAAAGGCTCAGAAGTAATGACGAATACATTTCTGGACTTTGGCGAAAAACCATAAAGGCCGACCTTTTGTGGTATAGAAATGCAGCTGATGGTAATAATCGAAGAATCAAGGATGGGGGTGCTCCAACATGGTCGTGGGGATCTGTCACTGGGCCAATTTATTACACAGACAGGGTCACACCTATTGACTCGAATTTGCAGATCTTGGACATTATAACCAGCGAGGAGCAAGCTCCGGTCCTTGTTATCCGGGGCCATCTCGTCAAAGTGGAACTCGACGATCCTTACAGTGACAATGTGTCCTTGGGTCCGGATGACGAGCTAAGAGTGGAATGGGATTGCGCGGGGGATCTACCGAAGTTTAACAAAATATCCCTGTATTTCTTGGTATTTGAGGCAGATGATGGAGGACCATTTGGCCTATTACTCAGTGTCGACCGAACCGATCCAACTGGTCAGCAATTTCGAAGAGTCGGGTATGTCCACGGGCATAGCATCTCAAAGTGGCGTCGCTCATGGGGTAGTGGTGGTTGGGTATCTAGTCCGGCTAGCAGTGCGTCTGACACCTCAGGTGGAATATGGGAGGATGCCAGTAGGGATGGGGCAAGAGAGTGGGTTGATGAAATATTTGATGGCGAACCTACGACCTTTAGGCTGATATAGTGATTATACGTATTTTTTTTAGATGTTTATCTCGCCTCGATTGTTGCAAATTCGAATTCAGCAATGCTATATGTAGTGCTACAAAGACTTGGACCCCAAACCGAATTGACCACCCTATGGATAACCGATTCGGCTTCCAATTGTCCCGGGGAGTCCAATTCATCTGTCGTATGGCAATGGTAAATACAATATTTCTTCCTACAGAAGCGTCATAACTATATTCTATGCTTGTTACTTGGGGCATATGTTGATCAGGTTTCAATGTTCCTGCGCCGGGGGAATCTCGGCTGACAGTAGTTGATCCATGCGGGGAGAAACTAAGATGAATAGATCTCATTCTTTCGTATAGAAAGCTGCCAATCCTTGACTTAACACTTGGGCCTTCTTTTTACCACTGTTTTCTTCCTCCTTCTTCCCTCTCTATTGAGGACAATAGCTAAAGTCTTTCGTGTACGGGCGAAAGCATTTCTGTAGCCCTTGGTTTGATGCCGAGACAATGCCCTAAGATAACAACGCAACATGTGCAGTATCATGATCCTCTGTTGTTTGATATGAGATTCTAACCGAAGAGACAAATGAAATATAATCAAAGGATGTGTGCTTGGATGTAACACCAAGATAGCGGCCTTAGGCACTGAGCTGATAGGTAAACACTCAATCATGGTACTCAATGCTCTCCAACAAGCAGTATCGAGTCTCAAAAGGTGAATATCGGGCCAGTATTCTTCGATATTAGTTATACAGCGCTCAAACAGCCTCGGCCAGTCTATTGGCTTGACGCTCTCTCTTTGGCTCCATATCAGAATCGAAACCGCCATAGGATTACCAGCAAGAATTGCCATTCGGATTAGGCATGAGAGCTCATCTAAATCCCAGCCAAACGATGAGTCTTCGCTAAGAATCCTTTCCATAAGATATTCTATTTCATCGGCTGCACCAAAAACTCCCCATTGCAGACGAGGGGTTGAGGTCACGAGTAGCTCAAGTACAGGAAACCGGGTTTGTGTGTTGTTGCGTGGTAGGTCTTCCTGTCGTCGCCAAAGCTTGCCTCCGTTTTTGATAAGCATCTCATGGATACGTTCGTAGAGTGCCGGTGGATCTGTCCTATCATCGAGTTCGTGGAAGAAGTCGATCCTGCGATAATGTTGCTTTAGTAACTTCTCTCCTACATCCGCTGACCTTTTGGGGCATGTCTTGGCTAGATCAAGCATTAATTCCTGCTGTGACATGAAGTAAGGAAGGGATCCTGCCCAAGTCATGTCAAGTCCTAGTGGCGCGTTGTTGATACAAAATGTTGCGTTCCTTTCTCGCATAAATTGCATGACTGCCGAGGCGACAGCCAACGTGCCTAGCTTATCCTCTGCCAGGTGACCTAACACCGAATAGCATTCCGAAATAGCAAGCTCTGCATGATGTTGGAAGCCTCTTGGCAATCGAATTGCTCCACGAGAATATTTGTGTAGAGCCAGGTGAGCAAATAGCATGGGCAAGTATGGCCATGCTGACTTTCCTTTGCATCGAGAGCAAACAAGACTCCTAGGACCGTAGTAGGAGAAAGGATCCATCTGACACAGGAGCTTTCCACAAAGAAGGCTTCGATCCGTCTCGGGTCGACAGGCATGTGATATGCCCTTGTAGGCCCCAGATATTTCATTTCTACTTCTCTGATCACGGGCGAAGAGAATCAAAAGCGGAGCAGCTGTGATAAGGTTCCCGCGCTCATAGAGCTTTTTTCCTTCGTTGAAACGGACGTCCATGAGCGATGGAGACGAAACAAATGGATTTGAATTTGGCTTGTTAGTAGATTCCGGATTTGTGCGAAATATGGCCTGGAGAACAAGCCGAGCATCTTTATTCGCGGAAGACTTTGCTATATCCAGGTGGCCACTTTGCAGAAGCTGCTGCCTCATGTCCCGTATCCACTGAAGGGCTTTGTTGTTACCCATTCTTTTCATGAAGACCACTGCGACTCTGGAGCAAAGGTCCTCAAGGTCCAAAGTAATGAGATGTGCGGCTGCTTCTGACACCGTATTTGGTTCATTACAGGGACCTGACGGTTGGGCAGTCAGGATCTGCCTGTGACCTTTCGTGCTTCCAGAGTTCAAGACAGAGGGGTTTCCTGCATCGCTTTCTTCTGCGATAACATTGTCCCGCCAATTGAAAATATTGTCTTTCTGCCTCGAAGACAATGGCACCCCAATGAGAGACATGGTAGCAGTCGCTTTCAACACTGAGTTGTATACACTTGATGAATGAGAATTTGAATTAGGAGATCCTTGGTGCCCATCATGATCTTGGTAGCGGGTGTCTCGATTTTGTTTCCGACTGTTTAATTCGGGTTCGCTATCGAGAGACTTTCCAACAGTCGTTGCACTCGAGAGCACTTTACCAGCTAAACAAGCCAGCTCTTTGCTGTCTTGCATTGTTGTCATCGCTTGCTGTCCATCCACCCATGGTAGGTTGAAATCGTTTGGTCGTATCTGTATATCCTCAGCATCGCGACGCAGTTCATCGATCCTGTCTTCGAGGTTCAGGACGTGGTCTGTGAGGACCTCGCCCTGATCCTTGTACGAATTCATCCTGTACTCATTGAGTTCTCTACTTTGATCAGCTCCTTTCATTTCAAGGCTCAAGTGACATAGCTGAAACTAGTCACAGAAATTGATCGAAAAAGCTCACATTCCCAAAAGGATCGTCGGGGTTTGCATCATTGTTGCAAATGTCGACATCCGTTTCCGGAGGTGTTCTATAGTAGGAGCACTCTTCTCCCAAGCCAAGCCCACGCGTAGCCGAGCCTTTATTCTGCCGCCACCACGCTCAGCTGTATTCTTGATGTAGTCAAAGATATACCGAAGGATCTGTAACGTTTTTTTTGCATTGCTTAGAGTAGCTCTGACATCATCAAGGCTCATTCCATCAGGTAATGGTACTCCCGAGTTCGATGCTTTTAGAACGATGTTCTCGAACGATATGAGATGTAATCGCATTTGTTGAATTTCCTCGTACAATTCTTTCAATGTCTGATCTTGGTTTTTAAATCCCTGATATACATCGTTGACTGTTTTCAAACCTTGCATCACGACTCCGGTTAACTGCAAAACTGCAGCTACGGCACCCAGAGGCTCCATGATGTGGCTCGAGAGAAACAAACTGGGGTGATTGTATTGGGGGGGTAGGGTTGTCTGGAGGTAGCTCAGAAGGACCGCATGTAGCAGCACATAACTACTTTTATGTTACTCTCGGCTGAGGCATACAGAGACAGCTAATTGATGTTGTAGCCGGAACAAACTGCCTCGTAGACTGCCTTATGGTAAGCCTTTCGGACAAAAATATGCCTTGCATTGGGCGCCTCAGCTTGAAAACGCAAAATACAATTCGATTGGTATATATGCTGATACTGTGCAGCAGAGGTGGTGTGGGAATAACGGAACGCTATTGGCTACACATATGATGTGACTACGATTGGGCGGCAATGTGCAGATTAGAACGGTTGATGGCATGTACGTTGGGCACTGTAACGGCGGTTGATAAAGAAAAGGTTGGATTTAGACAAAAGAATGTCTAATCATCTTCGGCGCGATGCACAACTGTAACCTTACTGTTTATAGATAGCTGGACTGTTGTGTTAGGAAGAGCCTACGGTTATGGCGCCTTTGTGATATGGAGAAATATTAATAGTTAATTTGATTAAATTACTGACAAGTTAATTATATTTTCATTAAAATAAATTAAATACTTCTATATTATAAAAGTAAAATAATTTAAAGTTTAAAAATATATATATTATTTAGAGTATTTATTTTTTATAAAAATAAAGATTATTAATTATAATACTAAAACCTTTCAACTTTTTAAATAATATATTATTTAAATTGTATTATTTATTTTCCTTATAGTATTAATATATTAAATTATTTGATTTTGCTATATTTATAGCTTAAAACTACTTAGGATGCCGTTTTGCTATAACTGCTTTACCAGTGGAAATATCTGTCAGAGTCAACTGGTTTGGTGATAATTATAGTTATGGACGAAAAGAGTAGTATGACCATTACTATAAGGACAATATACACTGGAATAAAACGCAGAGAAGGTCATTTTGTCGCTTGGGAATAACCAGATTAGTTTGAGGAGGAGTTTCGGAATTGGAGAAAAATAGATCAGCTGAAACCCGGTATTCTCGAGACAATTTTGAGGAAGATACATACGGATAGACCCTGTTCATGTGGGCGGTATTTTCATCTGCCGACATATTCGTATACAATCCCTGAAACGCGGCTTGCATCTGGTATGCAATATCTGCTCCTAAGTATGTCTCATGAGAATCATGAAGCTATGATTCGATAAAATAGGTGATTCACCTACTGGGACTTTCCGCTTTGAAGTCATCCGATTGGTTAATGCCTGCTAGCTCACAAGACACTTACCCCTGGGGCTGAAATTCATTGCTACGGTTACTTCCACGAGGCATTGAATCTCTAGCGATTGATCGTTATTGGTGAAACTGAAGATGTTCATGCGTTGTGCGGTTCCGCGCCCGTTACCCCGGACTTTTGCGGCCGCTACCCCGCACGTTCACAGCGGCCTGATCAATTGCCTGATGTGATGCTGACATCACCTGCCAGGTCAGACCACTGCCGACAGAAGTGATATAATAATGCCAGGGAGATCTCATGTTTCTTCTAAAAACTGTCAATTGACAACTAGAAACCCCATCGCTCCAGCTCTGTACTCAAATATTAAAAATGAAGGCCCTCGTCTACGGCGGTAATAACTCTGTTACCCTCCAGGATCGTCCTGTCCCCAAGATCTCTTCACCAACAGATGCGATCATCAAAGTCACCAAGACCACCATCTGCGGAACCGATCTGCACATCCGAAAAGGCGATGTCGCTACCTGTGAGCCAGGAAGAATTCTAGGCCACGAAGGCGTTGGGATCGTCCATTCCGCAGGCCCATCTGTCGCACGATTCAAAGAGGGCGATAGAGTCCTCATCTCTTGCATCTCAAGCTGCGCGACCTGTGAATACTGCCGGAGGGGGATGTATAGCCATTGTACCTCTGGTGGCTGGATTCTCGGTAACACAATCGATGGAACTCAAGCTGAATATGTCCGCATTCCCCATGCCGACTCGAGTCTCCACCCTATTCCCGATGGGGCAGATGAGGCGGCTTTGGTGATGGTCAGCGACATCTTCCCAACAGGTCTTGAAGTTGGTGTTCTCAGTGGCAAAGTCCAACCTGGAGGGACTGTCGTTGTTGTTGGCGCTGGACCGGTCGGCTTGGCTGCTATTATCACTGCCCAGTTATACTCGCCTTCCAAGATCATAGCCATTGATACCGACAATGCAAGACTGGACGTTGCCAAGAAACTCGGCGCCACTGATTCAGTCGTCAGCGGCGAAGATGCTGTGTCTCAGGTGATGAAACTGACAGATGGGAAAGGTTGCGATACCGTCATTGAGGCTGTTGGTATTCCTGCTACTTTTGAGCTTTGTCAAAAGCTCATCGCAGTTGGAGGCGTGTTGGCAAACGTTGGCGTTCACGGCACCAAAGTGGATCTTCATCTTCAGGACCTATGGATCAAGAACATCTGTAAGTGGCTTGGCTCTCTGATCTACCGTTTGACATGACACTAATGCACGTCTATCAGCGATCACTACGCAGCTGGTGGATACTGTTACTACCCCCATGTTGCTCAAGCTAGTGCAATCTGGCAAACTGCAGCCCTCGCAACTAATTACTCATCGTAAGTTCTCCGGCTGAAGTCCTATATATCAATACTGACGAGTTCCAACTTAGATTTCAAGCTGAGCGATGTGGAAAATGCTTACAAGACATTTGGCGAAGCATCGAAGCATAACGCTTTGAAAGTACTTATCGAGGTGGATTAAACAGAGATTCTAAAATACATGAGACATCCATTCTAGATTTTCATTCCCTTTGAATAAAACCAATATTGGCGGAACACTAAGCCCACTTGCCAACCAGAGCCATGATTCCAGCACCTAGGAAAAGGCAGATGATCATAAATCCTAGGCGAACCTTGTCATTAGTCCTCTCACGATTGAAGAGGAAATCTCTAGCAATCATCTCCACAAAACCAGTATAAATAAGAATTCCAGCAGAAATAGAGTCAAAAACACCATTGACCAGGTTTGCAGTGTACGATGAGTTGTCATACGTCTTTCGAATACCGAGACCAATGGCAATGGCGATAGGTGTTGTTAAACCGTAAGCGAGACAGAGAAGCCATGGCATACTGCGAAGTCGGTTTGGGAAGGGAATGGCACTAAGTCTGGCTCCAATACCGAGGCCTTCGAAGGACTGGTGGAAGACAAGGACTGGGAACAAGGTGTCGAAGTCGGATGTATCTGCGACACCCAGGTTCAGACCGATGAAGACGCTGTGAAACAGAACACCGAATTCGAGAATGAGGAAGGCCGCGATTTGTGTCTTGAATGCAAGCTTGGTTTCTTCAGAATCGCCATCAAGGTGTTGAAGCTCCTTGAAGTCTGCATAGCCACCACGATGCTTCTCTGACGTAGCCGCCTCTGCATCGTGCTGGCCATTGATCACCAGCCTATTCGAGTTCGAACCGTCGTCAGAATGATGCTGATGGCCATCTGCCCCGGAAGTAGTAATAGTATCCTCAACCCCAGAATCATTATGCTGAAGCCCATAGCGAGATTGAACATAATAATCGGCAAGAAAGTCGAATAGAAACGTGAACATCGCTGCTGAGAGGGCAATAGCAGGTGGCCAAGAGTATGTAGACCAACCGCCAGTCATGCCAACACAAGACGCTGGTCCGATCTCTGAATAGGCAGGATCGAGTAGGTGAACAAAAGCAGTTGCGATGATGACACCGGAGCCGAAGTATCGTGCAAAGAGGTAGACGTAGAGCGGGATTCTCAGACGTGGGATTCGTGTTGCGACGACGGGGAAGAAAGTGACTGCGGTGGAGACGACGAGAATGACGAATATCGACCCGATTCTGATACCAAGTGGGCCATCGTATTGATTTCCAGCGGTTGTCAGAAAGCAGGTGATGAGACCTTGATCAGTGATAGACTGGAACTCAGTGAGGTTAACCCTCTCAGGGTCAAAGTTCGTAGGTCCTGACATTGCGACTCAACAAGGTATAAGAAAGTAAAGATAATCGATTCAAGGAAGCTTAATCAATAAATAACCGATATGCGAAATGCTGCATTCTGCCCAGAGGAATCGAGGTTTATATGGCTTATCCTGTCTCACAATTAAACTTTTCAAATGCGCAACCTCTCAAACAAAAGGGCTCTCGTAGCCGGCCGATATTGCCGGCCACTTGCCGTTTTGCCGTGTTTCTCGGAGGAATAGAGCAATTTGTAGATAGGCCTGTCGTGATTTAAATACTCGTGAACCTTGATGGTTATGAGCTAAGAATGGCTTACTTATCTTAGACTCCGTATTGGGTTGTCAAATCGGATCTCGGCACGGAGTGTCAGACGAATTGCACGTTAACGGGAATAACGGCTGAAATATTTTCAATTGACTGATCATTTGCAGGAGTGAATTAAATGAGGTGACCTTGTTGAGTTTTGAGTGAGAGGACCGTGTTTGATCAAAACATCATATCATATCAACTAAACAAGCATATATGGAATGAAAAATCCAGAACACGAGGCTGAGGGGATCGAAAATAGCCATCGGCAAAATCGAAAAAAGGAAATGGCCTTGATAATTAGTGACGTATGAAAATCAGGAGGTGGTAGCTTACCGAATATTATTGGCCTCCGTGTCATGGTCTGCCAAAACTCACCAGACACAAGAAGGTCTTGAGCATGTTCCCAAGCCCATGGCCCAACGAGTCAAAACTTGGCATTAAAGTGCGCACCAAAAGCCCAAAGAACCAAAAGACGATAGGCATCTCGAATTCCACTCCTACGCATCAAATTCAATATGTCAGTGATGCCAGGTGCAGAGTTCATATCCAAGGTCAGCTGATATGCATAACTTTCGTGATCAACGCCATATGTTACCCTAGCATCGGGCCTGCAGTGTAGCCTGTAATGAGCCTCATCCTCGGGCTTAGGTGTTTGAGTTTGTGTGGCGTAAGGAGGTTTAATACACATGATTGGGCTTGCATCTCTGCCAAAGGGGGTATAGCGCCTAGTGATGGTCTGACAAAGACAATGAACCCCATTTCGGTTCGTCTTGTTTCCAGATACCTCTCACATGTGAATATGGGGGCTTTTTATCGTCTTTGTTTCGAAATGGGAGTGTCTGCTTGTAGCCAGTGCACAGAATTACTACATCAGGACGAATGGTCTGATGAATGCATCCCATGCGGGCCGTACTCAAGCCCAGTAATAGCGGGCATATTGGGTTCTCTGTGAAGACCCAAGCAAACTGCAACTGCGTCGCATTCCCATCGAAGTTTCTCTCCGCTTTTAGTATACTCAACAACGTACCCTTTAGTACCATCGCCGTTCACATCGCGAATCTCTGCTCCAAGTGTGATACTCGGCCACAGATTGAAGTGCGAGCAGTCGTCATGCAGATATCGGACATACTCTATAGCACAGAGGAAATCGTTTTGCAAACTGCTTCGGAAGTCTGAAAATGTTGTAAGATGCTTCGATGAAACAAGCTGGGGGTTTATGTTAGCTGTTGTAATAAAATGGTTGGCTGGCCTTTACTAGCCTCTGCATCTTCATAGGCCCGATTTGCAAAGGCGCCACCAATTATTTCCTCCAGCTCAAAGAGACGAGCTTCGATTGGTTAGCAGTCAAGATTGAGGTGTGCGCGCGTTAGGTATTTCAGGGTGACAAGACCTGAGGTACCGCCGTCAATCTTTGCAACTTTCATTGTGAGGGAACGAGGTTTTTGTTAGAGCTAGGATATCATCGCTACAGTCTTCAGAGTGAGCAGGCATATGAACTTGGTTATAGATATTACAAAAACTGAATACATTCCTCAGGAGATGGTCGGCAATGGGTGAGATGGCAAGTGACTCGATGATCAGTCCTCGGGAAACCCGCTTTTCGGGTATCGTTTCTGAAGTGGTTGCCTTAATCTTCCATACATCTCATGAGGCCTCAACTTTAGATCAGGGCGATGAGATTGTTCAGTGCTCGATTTACAGATCAAGAAAGATGCATTGGTGCATTTGATCTTCCGCCACCAACGAGCAAGACCACCATGCCATGATGATGTAGCGGAGCCATCAACGAAAAGAGGGAACAAACATAGTTCCAAAGAGCCAATTGAACAGTTTTTAGGAGTCATGTGCCCTCTTCACCGCCATCCCATCAAGACAACACTATAGACTGTAGCAAACTACATCTACGTGCGTTGGCAAGACAAACCGCATGAACAGGCAGACGACTTATGGACACATGACACCCAACAGCGATCCGACGGCTGGACGAAATCGGATCTCTGCTATGAAATGTGACCTCTCGTATAGGGCTTTCTACGGCTACAATGGTCGGGCCTCCTAGTATGGTTTGGCGTGTATGGTAGTCTGTCAACTACGGCAACACGCTCATGGGTATGTCCAAATACCAAGTTTTCGTTCTCATGGGACGATGTTATTATCTTTTGGGGTGATATTATTCATCCATTACAAAATGCTTATAGTCCATAGCTCTTTTTGTACCTTGATTGCGAAAGTTTTAGCTATTGATACTGTATCCACCGCTTGCAAGCTATGATCAAGGTCAACGGTCCCTTGATGGGCTCTCCTTTCCGATACACCACCAAAGATGGGCCTCATCGAGTAGATGGATCGAATAAATTGACTTGCTATCCATTCTTTCTGCTCCTCTCTCAGAAAACTTGGCCGGTTCCGAAGACTATTCATGGAAATATTGATAACGTAGGATAAAACGCTTATTGCATGGACCTGACCGTGAAGTGTCACATGTCGCGAGTGATCGAGTTTAGAAACGTACTGATCGCTTGCTTTGAATCTCATATATCCTTCATCATCGACAGGTAAATCGTGATGACTTGGGTATATGATATCGGAGCTTCCCGTTGAGAGTATATCAGTGGGGTAGTTGCAGTTGCCTAGATAGAATGGAATGCTGAGACACATAGAATCAACAAGCTCTTGGACTCTGCGTTCATTGGAAGTCCAGAACATGGCATAGTCCGAAATGCTGTTCTCGTCATCGAAATGCTGAACCGCAGATAGTGCTGAGGACTTGGTAAGTTGGTCCTTGATATCCTCGAGAATGAGACAGTAGATACGCCAGGCATTCCAGATATTCGCAACTTGTATGCTTGGGTATATGTCGCAAGCGCCACGATATGAAGGAACTGATGGATCGAAATCGATGCCGCTTTTCATCCGTCGTGGATACCAACTATCTGGTATCCGTTTCAGCCAGGTCCGTAGCTGAGTATCCAAATTGCAGATATGTTGCCGTAGCTTAGTGTCAGGAGAAGAGAGGACTGTTGCAGGTGACATGTCGTGGAACGTGTGTTGGAGATCTGCAATAGATACTCCAATCATGTCAAGAGCGGAACTCGGATTACTCGGCAAGATCGGAGCAACCTCAGTCTCAATCCACTCAAGGTCCTTCGTCGGTAATCGTATTCTGTTCCTCACAGAAACAGATACCCTAGAGTGGAGCAGGTTGCCAACAAGGTGAGCATAGTACTTGGAGTTCTTGAAACAGTTTTCGCGCTGTAATAACAAGGTCAAAGCTCCCTCACGATGGGCACCATGAGCTCTGGTTTGTCCTGACACAGCTGACAAGGTGTCGTGCATCTGAAGCACAAGGGCCGCTAGCACGGTCTCATCGCGACCTCTCTCTATGGGCTCCTCGGTTGCTTGGTGAAGCCGCTTCAGAGCCTTCACCAGTAGCTGATAAGGAAGAGGGCTCGAAGATGGAATTTTGTCGATCATGGACCAGATTTTGATTGACGTAGCTGTCACTGCCGTGTTCAAAGCTGAATCATGTCGTTCCGAAGCCAGAGCAGGACGGACAAACTCCAAGAAACCCCGCGTTGATTCCAAACTTCGACCAACATCGGTAACATATGTCAGAAAGAATGGTACAGCAAGATCTTGCGGGTGATCTGATGGTAACCGAATGATCGTCCTCTCAAGTGATGGCTGTTTCGCACGTTTGCTGATGCGCGTTACAGCGGCTGAATTCGCTCCATATCGAACAGTCTCATCCCTAAACCTCAGCCCACGCTTCTCATAACCCGTGCACTCAATGCCAAGACGAAGACAGGCCTTGCACCAAGGCTTTCTTTCATCGCACTTGACGCGGCGGTGTCTGCATGTGACGCAGCCTTGCGAGGCCCCTCGATTGACCATGACGTGGTGGAATAGTTAACGAACTGAAGAGAGTAGAGTTTTGCGATGTTTGCAGGAGGTGATGGTGATCACAGGGAGGACATGGTTCTTATGCTTAATTTTGTCGTATTTAGTGGAATGCTGACATGAGCAATACGCGAGAGCCTCATACGTCGTCCCGGCGGCTGTGTCTGACGATCGTTACTTAATAGGGCTAGACTTTGCGAGAGCGGCATAAAGTGGATACTGCTGACGGAGTCCAAATTATTTCCGTCACCTTTCATCGCTTCATATTCCTTTATCGAGACTTTACTCATCATGAGTTCAGAAATGGTTCTCCAGGCGATCGTAATCATGGGTTCAATTACCAAGGTGAAAGCTAGCGACAAGCTGATGCGAGACACATATAAAGGCCAAGGACCGTCCTCGAAAGGCTCAAGTTCATCACCACAATCATCAATTTCTCGATAACAAGTCTATAATTTGTTTTAATCATGAAGACATCTTATTTCTCTTCTCTCTGCACGATTCTAGCTCTTCTCAACGCAGGAGCCGTAAGGGCCAAGGACAACCCCATTCTTTTCCTCAGCGAAGATGACAGCTTCAACTTTGACATCCTCACCGGACTTGGTCAAATGGCCAACGACGGCGCAGACGTCAATCCCGTTCTGAGCGCCGCCAAAAAGATCATCCCAGGCGATTTTGAAAGCTATATTAAAGCATGGTTCGATCTTGCAAACAACACCAAGACCCAAGCTCTTGACCCCAAGGTTGCATACGATCCTATCAATGTCAGGGCAACTTGGTTCTCTGTGTCGAACTATTTCCGCCGTGCTGATGCTTACAATCGTGCTAATTGGGATGATCCTCGCATCAACGATTATTGGGATGAGCAGCGTGCTGCTTTTGATAAAGCTATTGCTGCTTTGCCTGTTCCAGCTGAGAGAGTTGAGATTCCTGCTGGTGATTTCAACGTCTCTGGGATTTGGTTTTCTCAGCCTCTCCAGAATAACCAGACGAAGCGACTCCCTACTCTCATGCTTACCCAGGGTTTTGATGCTGCCCAGGAAGATCTGTACTCGACCGTTGTCGCTCCAGCTCTTGCTCGTGGATATAATATCTTCTCTTTTGAAGGTCCAGGTCAGCCAACTGTTCGCCGAGAACAAGGTGTCGGATTCATTCCGGACTGGGAACGAGTAGTTACTCCCGTCGTCGACTATCTGCTCTCTCAAAAGTCTTCCTTCGTTGATCCCAAGAAGCTGGTTCTATATGGACACTCTTTCGGGGGCTATCTCGCCGCTCGTGCAGCTGCATTCGAACCTCGACTAACTGCCCTGATGTTGAACGGTGGTATTTGGGACGCATACACTGGATACGCCGCTCATTTAACCCCAGAGCTTCGCAAGCTTCTCGAGTCAGGTGATAAGGAAGCATTCGACAAGGCCATGAGCAAAATCCACGACGATCCAGATATCCCTACCACTACCAAATGGGGCATCCTGCAGGGTCTCTGGTGCTTCAAAACCAAATCCCCTTACGAATTCTTCCAGTTGGCCAAGAGTTATAATCTGCGAGGCGGCATCACAGACCGTATCCAGATGCCAGTTTGGATTGCCGATGGAGAATTCGAAACACTTCAGTCTGGACAGTCTAAGCCAGTTGCAGAAGCTTTGGGGGATCGTGCTGAACTTCACATGTTTAATGGTACTGCTGGATATCACTGTCAGACTGGTGCTCCTCAGGAGTTTGGTCGAGTGATTTTTGCGTGGTTGGACAAGATCTTGAATAAGGATTAGGTGCCATCGTGGACATAATAGTGGCAGACAAGTGAGTAGTGGAGGACAGCATGATACCATGCACTCAGATACAACTATCGATGCCCAGCTCCCTCACCGATTCAAGCCCCTTGGATTCTTTTAGGATTTTCAGACCGTTTTGTTCTTTTAGTCTTTCTCCAACTTTAGTCACTCTTTTAATTCATTTTCATATTTCGCTTTCTCCTAATGAATTACGTTCTGCAGCGACCAAGGATGGGTTTTCAGCCTGAATGAAGACCTGCGGTCACATGAGCTTCCAGTCAATAACGTCAGCCCTCATTCTATTTCGTATTTTATCTTCACAAACTTCCGTGTCCGAGTGGTGTGATGTGTAAAGTTTGCTGCGAGGTGCATTTCAGGTTGAATCCAGTTGCTAGCATGCTTGGTGCTGCGGTTTTCCTAACTCGGAAACATGTGTCGGAGAGCAACACTCCGGTCACCCTCATTCAGGCATAAAATTCGATATCAAGTCCTGCAACGGAAGTTAGTTTTCAATAATGTATCACATCAGCGGCCTTCAATTCTATTAGAAGTGATAGACATTGCGATATATAACGTATAATCAATCGGTAATCTCTCTTCTAGCCTCGACTTGCCAACCTTAAAACCGTATTCAACGTCCAACGAAAAGACTTGCAATGAAGGCAAGCCGCCCATAATTTCGTCGAGGATGCAAGCTAAGTTCATGAAACAGATAATACTTCCGAGTACCCTCTCACTGTCCCTTGCTGGGGTCTTCGCCCAGCAGGTCTTAGTTGAACAGTGGCTAAGTGGAGATTGTAATGGGCGACCTTTCATCACTGCCAACGTCAACGGAGGGGCCGATGGGACTTCATGTGTCAATGTCGAGCAATTCCCAGCTACCAACATCAAAGTTAGTTTTGTGAGGCCTTGCAATGATGGAAAGACTCCAGTAATCAAGGTTTCCAGTGTTGAATGTGCGCAGTTTCAGACTGGGTTAGTTCTGGGCGCAGATGGGTCATGTAATTCTGTAGACTTTACCCCTTGGGCATATTCAATCTCGTGTAACTAGTTAGATATGCTTTAGGTAACTGATGAGGAAAGTGTACGATGAGCTTGAGGATATATCGCCACTTTCTGGACAGGTTTCAAGCTGATCATTGGCTAAGTTAGGTTTGATTCGGGTCGGCTCCTTAATTCCTTCATTAACAGTACATATTGTTTAATTCTAGCTCATTTCATCTTGCTTCTACTATCATGCAATATCTCATGGGGTTTACAACAGTTCTTCAAGAACAGGCCAATGGAACGACTTTAGTTACATGCTCCTATTACCTGTTTTAGCTGTACCGATTCTAACGATATGACCAATGCCCCCAAAGCTGAAAATGCCATATAAGCATATTGCCGGTAGCTGCTTCGCCAAGGCTGATAACATTATATCTAATTTGTATCACTGCATCGTCAAAAATACGAGCTCAATTGTTGGATTGGTCTGGAGAATCTGTCAGCTAAACTCCGCATGGGGTGGGAATGGTAACTCCGCATCTAAAAATGGGCTGAGAATACGAGCGACGAATCCAGATTGGCTCAACCTTATAATCAAAATCTAGCAATTAATCACCCAGAGACGATGAATCAGCGACCGAATGATCTACGCAGTATCTGTAAGTAGGTTGTGAGGCTCATCTTTACAAACAGTGCAAAAGAGGTCTCGCATTCTGCAGGCAAGCGGATATGCTTTGCAATCAATCTGCATTATTAACTCATTCATCGTTTCTTGCCACACCAACTGCTTAGTGTAAAAATGTCACTGTAATATAAATAGCAGGTTCAAGCTTGTATTCAATTCACCTAGCATTGATCCATTCGAACAACTCAACTCATCTTGCGCCATCACCTTACTCAAGTTCTGTGTCGAAGCATCCTATTCATCATGAGTCTTCCCACTTTGAATCAATACCACAAAAAGCCCTATCAGGCGATTGACCCTGCTCTCCCTGCCCTCCAGCAGACAGGCAGAACCGTCATTGTCACCGGAGGAAACAGCGGCATCGGGTATGCAATCGCTCGCGGCTTTGTCAAAGCGAACGCTGCTCGTGTCATTATCCTCGGACGCCGCAAAGATGTAGTCACATCGGCAGCTACCAAGCTTCAAGAAGAGGGGCGCCAGTTCGGCAGTGGTACGGATGTACAAGGCCGCACTTGTGATATATCTGACCTAGCATCCACTGAAAACCTCTGGAAGGCACTTGAATCAGAGGGCATCTCTGTTGATGTTTTGGTCTTGAGTGCTGCTAGTTATGGTGCTACTGAGACAATTCTTGATGGAGGTCTGTCCAAGGTCTGGGGTGACTTTGAGTCCAATGTTCGAAGTACTCTGGATATGACAGGACGATTCTACAAGCAAAAGACGACAGACTCAGGTCAAACCAAGGTAAGATATCTTCACGCTCATCCCAAGCTCTGCTATGCTCACATCTCTCAGTTCCTGGTCAACATCTCAAGCTGTGCGGCTTACATGTGGTCAACAATGGGTCCAGACCGCCCAACATACGGCTTGACAAAGAATACCAGCACCCTTCTCCTACAGCAGATCGCGCAGGATACTAGGCCCACTGATATGCAGATTGTCAGTTTCCATCCGGGTGGTGTTTTGACCGACTCTGCCAAGAGGGTTGGTGGCGATAACCTGAAGGGCCTTGTCTTTGACGATGGTAAGTACTTTCAGGACTTCTAATCAAGCTTTTAACTAACAAAGGTTTGATAGAAAACCTTCCAGGCCATTTTTCTGTCTGGGCAGCAACCCCTGAAGCCAGATTTCTTCATGGCCGTTTCGTCTGGGCTAATTGGGATGTTGATGAATTGAAGACTGGTCCTGTACGTGAACAGATTGATACTGATGAGCACTTTCTCAAGGTTGGCGTGGAGGGACTATCTGAGAAGATGGGAGGCATGGTCATGGCTTAGTTCTGTAATCGATGGCATATCTAAAATTGGCTATACTGGTCGTCTCTTCTTATCATTCATTTTCACAAGTACTATATACTCAAGATGTTCAGATTGGATCACGGTTGACTTCCGAAGCCAAGATGCCATTCACCTACGGCCTCACTGTTATCACGCGAAGTAACTAGATGTGTTGATGCAAACTTATACTCACAGGCTGCCAAATTGTGATATTAGCGGAGGTAGTGTAAGAGGGACTTTTAATCTTCGAGAGAGTTGATAGGGATTCCGACATTCGGGCTCTGATATACCGCCATTTATCTCATTTGGCAGTCGGGTCTCATGAAAAATGGACTTTGCAGGGGCCCTTCCCATACGTCAAAGTTTCGCATGTACATAGCCTCCGCAGCGGAAATGATCATTGAATTAATGTAATTTGTAGTTTAAGAACACTATAACATTCCATCTCGTATAGCTAGACTAGCAACGGAACAGGTGTTGACGAACATGGTGTGAAGTCGCCTAGCTGAAGTCCCCGAATCTTACGGAATGGCACAAATGTAGTTCTTGGAGTCGTTCGTGTTCCCCCTACCCTTATATTTTGCCACTGCAGGATACTGGCATATCTTTCGTGAGAACTGGGTGAGTGCGTCTGCTTTCGTATGCGCATCCAATGTATGAGGAGGCTTCTCGTCTTCAACCCAAGCCAACAGTGCCCCAAATGGATTTGTTGGTACAGCACCAGCGCTTTTGCCAAACCCACAATGATCAACCCCAGGGGCAAGAAACAGGCGAATAAAGTTACCCAGGTCCTCGTCTTTCCCCTTGGATTTGAAGTTCCTTTCCACTTCTCTGAAGTATCGGACGCTATCTTGAGGATAGATCAACTGATCACTCAGACCATGCCAGATAATCACCTTTCCACCCCCTTTCTTGAATGGATGGAGATTGGGGTCCGATGAGTCCATGATGTGACCAAACCTATCCCGGGACTGTGAAAATAGCTTCTCGAAGCCAGCGATATCGAGTTGTGATGTGTCAAAGCTCGGGTCTGTCTTGACGAAGTTGCGTGCCCATGTATCAGCCACAAAGAACGGTGCACCAGTGGTTGTCCCATTCACTGTCTTCATAGCAGCCAATTCAGCAAGTGATGCACCCTTGGGCATCCCATACCATAGAGATTTGCCTCTTGAGTCAGTTGGTCCTCTCCATATCTTGCTAACTATTGAGGCAGCAATTTGGCTGATCACTATGCTCTCCTTTCCGCACTCAGTTCTTTGGCCCACAAGAGTGAAAGGGTCGTACTTGCAGGTGAATGGTTCTGTAATCACGCCATCCGTGACCCCGTCTTTTCCATCGCACGATTCTACTGCTGCTGATACAAATGCATCCAGTTCACATGTCGATGGATAATAGTTCGCGTCTTTCATCACAGCTTGAGGCCAAAGCTCAGCGATAACATACTCCGACCAGTAGATGGCGGGAGCCCCAGCAAGAATTCCATCAAAATCACTGGGATACTGCTGTGCTGCCGCCAAACCTTGACGGCCCCCAGTAGAGCAGCCATTGAAGTATGCCTTCTTAGCCGGGACCTTGTAGAAAGAAGATGTAACTGCCTTGCCGACCACTGCCATATCGTGCACAGATCGTGAAGCAAAATTCTTGAGAAGACCATAATTGACAGTGCCATCCGGCTTCAAGGCCCAATCTGACGGGTCAATTGGGTTCCCGCTGAGTCCAGCGTTTGTGGAAGAGACAGCGTAGCCTTGAGAAGCAGGGAGAGCAAGATCAAATTGACCGAGCCCAGCTGCCCAAGCACCGCCTCCAACAGCGAGATAACGGGAATTCCAGTTGCCAAGAGGCAGCCACGTCTGCACAAGAACGGTATCGTCTTCATTCCAATGGGATAGAGTGACATTTACTTCACAGATGTTTAGATGCGTGACATTTTGAAGTAATGTTGGAGGAAATGCAGGGACGGAGTGGTCGCGGTAGATTCGACTTTTGACGGATCTGATTATGGCACCTGGTACGATCGGGGGAGTTATGTCGTTGCATGATTCAACTGGTATGGCTGCAGCTCGTCGAGCAAGGCCACCGAGGCCAACAAGGCTTAGAAAGACAGAATAATGCATATTGAGTTGAGTATTCAGATTGCTTGGTATTGACACTGATTTACTGGTTACGTATGTGCCAGATTTATAGCTTCAAGCCCTATCACGCATCGATGCTACTGATGACAGCGCCTTCGGCAACGCCGGCAAAATGCTTGTTACAGAAATCTTTCCCTTGTGTTCCATTGCCATTACAATAAAATGAGCTTGCACTGAGCGCAACATGGCTTTTGGCAGAAATGAGTTATTGATTCCTCATGTTCCATCATGGCTCTTGGCGCGTATACGAGCAAACCATCCTCAATGGCTTAGATTTAATCTGGTCGCAATTCTGCAACAGAGCCTCCAGGATTTTAATGCTTAACTAGTAGAATAAAGTTAGTTAGCTATCTAGTGGTCCCCGAATCTCACGTCAGATCGGCTAATGCATAGTCTTGTCTTTTTCGGTGGCGCAAGGAAAAACGAACCAATCAAAAAAGCATGCTCGTATTTACATTTATAGACAAATGTTATGACATATCGAGCCCGAAATACATGTAGAAATAGTAAATATGTCAACTAATCTCAAAAGTGGTGTTGAAAACAGATGAAAACAGTTTTTATAATACCGCTCAGTTGCTTGAAGCCGACATTTGACTCAAGAAACATTCCTATCATGTCTGTCACAACAAATCTTATCAAAGCAGCTGTTATTCAAGCTGAACCAGTCTGGTTTGACTTGGCTGGTACTATTACAAAAACATACTATCTGATCAAAGACGCTGCTTCGAAAGGAGCGCATATTATTGCCTTCCCTGAGCTTTGGTTACCGGGATATCCTGCATGGATCTGGTAAGCATTGCGTGCTATCCTGTGGAGTAGGTTTAGGCCCCGTATCCAAGGGTTGTGTGAACTGAACCCTTCTAGGAACATTTCAATCCGCTGATCAACTTCAATACTTTCTTCCAGGGAGAGCAGGTTCATTGTGCGGCATGGCCTTGCGTCCCTGTCTACTCAGGTGGACCCGAACCATACTCGATGTCCGATGAAGGTACGATCATCACCATCCTTTGAGACCCATCTAATCCATGCAAAGCGGTAGCGACCATCTCTCGTGTCTACTCTATCCAAGCCCAGTGTTATACACTACACTCTACAACAGTCATCTCAGAACCATCCATTGACATGATGGGCACAAAACAAGCCGCAGCTTTCAATGTCCCTGGTGGGGGAAACGCGAGGATATTTGCACCAGACGGGCGACAATTGACAAGCGAGTTGCCAGCAACAGAAGAAGGCATGGTAGTGGCAGACTTGGATTTGGATCAGGTGACTATGCATAAAGCAATTCTTGACACGTGTGGACATAACGGGAGACCAGAGTTGTTATGGCTGGGTCGGGATAATCACGCAAAGCCGGCGGTTCGAACGGACAGAGACCTTTCAAAGAATTATTTATCGTCTCAACCTTTTTCTTTTAATCTTTGGCCGCCCTAATTATCAACTGAAACATCAAACAGATCCATTGTAAAGTGTAACACGGTCGTCGAAAGCGCAGCTATTTAGCTACAGAGGGGGACCACGAAGGCATGTGATTGACTAAATCAGCTTTCCTCTCATCATTTATTCCATCTATTTCAATCATGCATCATTAACGTGTTTTACGGTGTGTTTCTATGCATTGGCATGAAGTTTTCTTTCTGGTCACTGATTATTGTTGCTTTGCTAATTCCGTGAGAAGCAAAAGAGGGAATAGTCGAGTAAAACACGATTTGGAATCAAAAGTCAAATTTCAAATGCGTGACGTATCTCACGTAAGACTTGATCCAGACCACTTTCGACAATTGAAGGATGAATGGTGGGGTGCTGCTTTTATGAAGTTCACTTATACGAGGGATACCTTCTCATTGGTCTACCAGTAACGTCATTTTCTTCAAAAAGCCCATTCTCACCGTGGATCATGGATGCGGTCAAGCATCTCTCCCAACTAAGGACAGCATGATCATTTGTCTCTTCTTCATTCTGGCTACTTTCATAGCCCAGGCTCTCAGCTTGCAGCCACCTGACTATTCACTTGGCAAAGAGCATTCCTCCGAACACCTAAACCGTCGTACCGGGCGTCTATCCCGACTTGAGCCACTGTCATATGTTAACACTACCAGACTTCAAGTGGCATACTATGAAGACGGTTCTCCAGATGCGCAGGTCGTTCTTCTCCTCCACGGCTGGCCCTACGACATTCACAGCTACACGGAAGTCGCCCCAGCTCTTGTGAAACAAGGATACCGTGTTATTGTCCCATATCTACGCGGTAACGGACCTACCACCTTTCTGCACACAGATACTTTCCGCTCCGGCCAGCAAGCAGCTTTAGGCTACGACATCATCGAGTTGCTAGATGCTCTAAGCATCAAAAAGGCCATCTTTGCTGGTTACGACTGGGGTGGACGTGGTGCTTGCGTTGCAGCAGCTCTGTGGCCCGAACGCTGTGCCGGCCTGGTGTCAGTCAACAGCTACTTGATCCAAGACCTATCAAAAGCCTGGGTTCCACTCGATGCCAAGATTGAAGCGGGCTTTTGGTACTTCTACTATTTCCTAACTCCTCGTGGACAAGCTGCTTTGGCGGAACACCCAAAAGACATAGCCAGGGTTGTTTGGAATAAGAACTCCCCTGAATGGAACTACACCGAAGCAGATCTCGATCGTGCCGCTGAGACTTTTGTCAATCCAGACTATGTCAGCGTTGTTACTCATGTCTACAGACATCGCCTGCTGTATGCTCCAGGTGATCCAGGTTACAATAATATTGAGAAAGCGCTTCTTGAGCAGCCTGTTATCTCAGTCCCAACTGTAACACTAGATGGTCTTGCAGACGGCAACTTTCCGCCGACGAACGGGTCCTCCTCAGCTAAGTACTTTAGTGGTCCACGTGCACACCATCAGGTTCCTGGGGCGGGGCATAATCTTCCGCAGGAGAAGCCTGAAGCGTTTATCAAAGCAGTGCTTGATGTTTTGTCGCTGAAATAGATTAGATCAGCTTTATCATGATTTAGGAGATGGTTGATTCATCAGAATCGAGCATGAGAATTTACTGTAATTACCATAGTACCAAGGCTCTTGCCACTTTTTCTATGCAGTCTATCGTGTTGAATATTCTTTATGCGGTCATCCAAATCATTTAAACGGCTGGTTGAACAGCTTTCAGTCTCCCTCTCTAACAGTCCAGCTCCTATCTTTCCTTCTTTCGTTCTTGGCCTACATCTATTACCAAGCTCAAGCTAAACTGCAGTATCCATATCGAATTCTGCCAGGTGTTGCGGGTCAGGTATATGGACATCAATTCACCAAGTCATAATAATTGTCCTTACTGGACTGGTCATGGGGTATATCCCCGTAATACCCCTCATCAAAGCTTGCAATTTCATTGACAGCGGTAATTAGATCTGAGTGGAGAAATACAACAGAATCCCACTGTAGGTCTGCATGACAGCTTTGTTTACTTGCCATTTTGAAGAGAGGTACCGTGTCTCCGATAGTTTGCAGACTTGTGTAAGAAAATATATCAGAGCTCTCGCTGGTCGAAATGTGCGAGATGTCTCCTGAAGAACGAAGTGCTTCCATTGCGCTGCTAAGAAGTTTGTCTGCAGCGTCGAAGTCACCCTGGAGCAGCTCATACATGGCTAGCAACGGGGTCATGAGAGCCATCCATCGGGACGTGGTTCTATTTGAGTTCTGCATGCGCTTGCGGAAAATTTGGAGTGCAACGTTGTAGAGCCGAAGAGATTGGTGCCTGTGGTGATTGGCGATCTCGATCTGTACACCATTCTGGCTTAAGATAAAGCCACTATAAAAGAATGACCCAAGGGCCAGGACGGCGTTTTGTATACACTCGTCTTGGAGCGTCTCTTGAAGGACAATATTGGAGTAAAGCTCGCTGTAGCTGAATACTGCGTTGCTAGGATTTGCATTTTGGTTAAAGTGCTCAAGATAGACGGGGCCATAGGCCGACGCGAGTGGAGAGAATGATGAAATCAGGTCATGCCATGTACATGGTTCCGAGTGATCTAGTCCGGGACTTGGGGCCAGGTTTAGAGTTGTTGCAGTGGTTCCAGGGGACGCGGACACGTCGCCAGCCGAACTGTCAGTGCCGCTTGACAAGTCATTTGAGTCGCTCGCTTCTCCGGTCGTATCGCTGGTGTAACCGTCGCAATCGAATCTTCCCTTAGCACATCGGACGCATATTGGTCTAGCCTCTGTAGTTGCATTAATGAATTAGAGACCTGCTTAACAATTATGTATCAAATACCCTTACCGTCACACTTGACTCTTCGGATCTTACAGGTCCCGCAACCCGATCGGGACTTGGGTTTTCCAGTACGTTCCCAACGCCGTACGGCCCTCTTTACTTTGGGGGGAAGTATCCTTGATGGTGGCTTGGGGCTGGAGTCTTCACTGTAGAGAGGGATGATTGGTCTCATTCTGGGGTAGATACACAAGCCAACCAAGTTCTTTCAGAGTCAATCGTCCTCATAAATAAAGAGGGTATACTACCTTTCCTCATTTCAGAGCTTGAGATTTTTATACAAGATGCAATTCTGTAGCCCTCTTCAGAGGCCAGAACCTAATTGAGAATAGTGCATTTCCCTTCAATGCCAATTCGCTAGTTGCTCAAAGTGATTGATTGGCTGCTCAAGCAATGTCGATCCATGCTGATGGCGGAGAAATCGGGGAAACTAGACTGTAAGTAGTAATCGTATTTATCAACCAATCATCTATGACAGAGGTTTGGAATACATTGGATGAGTGGAGTGCTTTGTCATACAGGTTAAGCTGCATCTGACTGTTGGCTCCTGGTAGGGCTGACCTTGGCTGTTTCTACCCTTGTCACCCTCGTTTTTTCAAGCACAGAACTGAGGAAAACATCCGATTCAACATTTACCTCCCCCTCTTATTCTTCCATAATCAAGGGCATTTCTGAGGCGCAGCTGTCGGCCGAACCATGATTCCCGCCAACGCACTCATAAACACTATCCAATTGGGCAAGCCGAAGCGTTCTGGTGCACCCAAAAGTCGCAGTGGCTGTATCTCGGTAAGCCGCCCTTGCCTTTGCACTTGGATAAGAGATGCTCTGGTATCGGTGTGTCTGAGAGTACTTTGCTGACATTATCAGTGTAAACGAATGCACTTGAGATGCGACGAGGCGAAGCCAGCATGCAGTCGATGCGAAAGGTCACATCGACTATGTCGATACGGAGAAGCTGCACAAAAGGTTATCCAGCCCCTCACACAATCCAAAATCCTTCTACCAAAGCAAGGGTCTACGAGTCATGAAGGCTTTCCCCTTCTTCTGATTCAACCTAGATCTTCAAGTCTAGAGACCCATGAAGTACCCTATTTCGATCTCTTTCGTTATCAAATGGCCCATGACTTTGGCTACACCCCTTGCACCCTTTTCTGGAACAAAGTCATACCGCGGGAAGCTATGAACGATGACTGTGTGAAGTTCTCTATTCTAAGTGTCGGCGCGCTCATGCAATCTCTTTATCGTCTTGGTCCAAGGCCATATACTGGCCTCAAACCTTTCTCGGACCTCTCTCGGGCATCCAGCGACCCAACGTATCGCATCGCTCTCCATTACCATTCAAAGGCAATCTCTGCCTTACAAGCCCGAATCAAGTCCAACTTCGCCACTGTTTCCCGACGGAATACGCTTATAAACATGTTCATCCTTTTTCTCTTCGAGCTAATGCACGGGAATACAGCAACAGCTGATCGGATGCTGACAAGCAGTGTTGAGCTTTTGCGACAGAAAAAAGATCAATTAGCGGAAGAAGTCATGGAAGGGTTTGAACCCCAGCAAGAACCTGTCTACACAGCAATCTCCAACGACGAGGGTCTGGATCAAGCTGAACGGATTCTTCCTCGTTTGCAAGTCTTCTTCAGCTTGAACTCTTGTTTTTTTCCCTTGCAGAGAGACTGCTGGTCGCGCTTTTCTACACAAGCGATACCTTGCACGGTCCCTTCAGCAAAGACAGACTTCAACCAATTTGCCGCTATGTGGAATAGTTTCATCACTCGCGCTGTGATCTTCGTGGTCAAGATATTGCAGGATCGTTCATACTGCGATGCATTCCATAGAGCGTCTTTGATGGCACGCCGAGATATGTTTCTCAAACAACTTCGCCAATGGGAAATTGTCATTATCGAGAGACTGGACGTTGAACAAGACACGGTTTCTAAAAACACAACCAAGACATTTCACGTCGGGCAAAAGGTTGTCTATATCTTGCTAAACTGTTGCCTTGATCCTATGGAGACAGAGTACGACAAGTACGACAACGTCTTTGCCGAAATTATGGAAATGATGCACTCTGTCGAGGGTACTTCGGGTCCATCGACGCGAATCGAGACAGTCTTGGACATCTACGTTCTGCCCGTCCTCAACTTTGTATCCCAAAAGTGCAGGAACAAGGCCATCCGATTGGACTCTCTGAACCTATTCGAAAAGATGACATCTACCATGGGCGGTTGGGAGACCAGGGCCAGTTTGTTAGCGCGTCGGCATCTCATGGCGATCGAGGAAGATGGTCGCGATGAGACCGGTGTTATTCCTGCGGGCTGTAGATACATATGGACTGATATCTCATGGGATAAAGATCAGTCTTATCTAGACGTCTACTTTCACGAGGCTGGGTACAGAACTCTTTGTAACAAGGTGATAGAGGACAAAGTTTATTTAGAAGAGCGGGAAGAATTTGTCAGTAGATAACCCGATGTATGCTAAGGCCATGAAATCTACGATAGCGAACTAGCTTCTCAAAATACTTGGGCATGATATCGAGCAGATCCCTACTTAGAACTAGTGTAAACATCGCTCTTCCAGACGAGATAGAGGTAGCCACCGCCTCGGCCCGCATTGATGTCACTGATCATCCCATGCCAGCCCGCAGGGGGTGCACCTTGAGGGATAGTCTGATGCCAGAGGGCAAAATCAGTTTTGAATCTAACGCCAATAAAATTAGTCCCTGTTAATCATTCCGGATGGGGGAGTATCGTGGGTCTTAGCGAGTGGCAGTCATGTTACGGGTCCAATCGAGGAAGCGGTAATCGCCACCAGCGCCCTTTGCGAGATTGTCCGTTCGGGCTGCATCGCCATGTCCAATGTAGATGGAAATGTTGTCCATCATCATGTCCGGCTTATCAGCCTTGATCGTGGTGAGCCAGATGTTGCTTGATTCAAGAGTCAGCGACCCAGTGTGGCTGATAAGGATTTAAAGCTAGGGCCGAAGCAGATAGTCATAGTGCATCAAGCTCTTGGAACACTGCTAGGGACTTACGACCATTTCATGGAGACTAAGCAAGCGAATATTACAGACGAGGTCAGATACGGAGTGAAAATTGTCACCTTGAACAGTATGCATTATAAGATATACTATCATGCAAAAATCAAATCGCTGTCCTTCATATCAAATTCGTATGATCCCAAACTCCATTCCAGTAAATCATACAACCTCTCTGGACTTGTTCTCAACATAAACAACCTGTCCTTGAGTATTCATAGCAACGCTCTCCTTCTCGTTGTACACGGCATCCTGCTGCTCAGCATCACGGTTGCCGAATAGACCAATCTTGTACCAGGGAAGGTCAAAGAGTCTATCCATGCTCTCAAGAGAACGACCAGCAGTCTCAGGGACTGAAACAACAACCCAAATACCACCAACAACCAGGATAGCAGCGTAGGTCCAGAAGGTTCCATTGGGGTTGATTCCACCCTCGGATGATGGCAAAAGCATGTTGGGAGTGGCTCGGCTGCTACCATATTGGCAGAGGAAATGCAGGGTCATGGCGAAAGAAGTACCAAAAGCTCGGACACGGAGGGGGAACAACTCGGCGGTGAGAATGTAGGACATGGTGTTCCAACCAAGAGCCCAACCAATGCCAGAGATGTAGATCATAGCCATAGCACCACGAGCAGCAGCGGAAGAGCTGTGAGGTTCGGGAACGGCAGTGAGGAATGAGCCAACGTAGATCATAGCAAGAGCCTGCAGGGCAATGCCTCCGATAAGAGCACGCTTTCGACCGATAACATCGACGAGGAAGAGAGCGCAGGTAATTGCTGAGATAAGCTTGACAATTCCGAAGAGGGCGGTGACGAGAAGACCAGTCTCAGAACCCTTGATACCGAGAAGAGCGAAGAGATCGGGGGCATAGAGAGTGATAGAGCCGGCACCGGACCATTGAGCAAGAACCTGAACCATGCTGGCGAGATATAGACGATAAAGGTTGCTGCTGTTGAGGAAAAGCTCCTTGCATGTACCGAGGAATGAGCTGTTGACACTCTCAAGCTCGTGCTCGTGGGCCAGCTGAATGGCAGCGATTTCGCGGGTAATGTAGTCGGACTCGGGATCTTGTTGTCGGAGGCGGGCCATAACGGCAGTAGCCTTTTCGGTCTGGCCCTTCTTGATGAGGAAACGAGGAGATTCGTCGACGAAGAAGCTAAGAATCAGAATCAAGCCTGCAAACATGATGTGAAGGCTGGTAGGAACGAGCCAGCGGGCGTGAGTGTTGTCGCCCATGTGAAGAGAGCAGCCGTAGTTGGCAAAGTAGGCCAAGACGATGCCGAGATATACAAAGCCGGAGAAGACACAAGTGCAGAGACCACGGACAGCTGTTGGGGCGATTTCGGCAAGATAGACGGGACCAACAACGGCTGTTTGACCAACTCCCAGACCTGCGATGAAACGACCAGCGTACACGGCGCCGAGACTGCCACCGTTGGCCATGAAGATGACGATTCCGACGATCCAAACAATGCAGAGCTGTCGAGTAGCCCAAATACGTCCGATTCTATCGCAGATGAGGAAAGCACTAGAGTAAAAGAGTCAGCGGATATAGTGGCAGATTGCGTGATGACTATACTTACATCAATGCGCCTCCAACACAACCAATCTGAACCATGGCAGAAACATTAGCCTTGATGTTGGCCTGTTCGACAGTCGAGTAATCCTCAAAGTGGATGTATTCCCGGAAGTCCTTTGACTTAAAAGCACCCGAGATCAGACCCTCATCAATACCGCGGGCCGCGCCCATGAGGCCGAAAGCAAAGACAGCAAACCATAGTCGCCAGTTAAAGACGCCCTTTGGCTCACCGACATCGCCCAGCTTGAAGATGTTGACGGGTTTCTTGACAACGCCTCCAGCCATTGTTGTGTGTTTGTTGAACTGAAAGAGGGGAAGAGATGAAATCGCTTGTCTGGGTGGTCTTGACTCTTTAAGTTTTGGATGCTTGGTCTGGACTGGACTAGTGATTGGGGAAAGCTTGGGGTCGAAGGGGGACCCTGATCTTATAGGAGATTGAAACGAGGTGTCACTAACTCAGTTGCCCATGGGGTAAATCTTGATTCGGGTGATTTACCCCGTGGAGATTGAGAAACGGTTCGGCTTGTCATTGCTGGGTTTGATGGAGTTCGCGATGGCTGTTGATGGAGACTGCAAGCGATGATTCTGTTCCCGCGGGTAGACTTCGCCGAAAAAAAGAAATGGGGCGGATTCCCCGTTCAAGAGAAGGAGACCCGTGCGAGTGCGGAGAAGATTGAGATGGTGGCGAGTCAACAGTTTAAGGGAGCAGTCTCGTTCCCGAGAAGGCTTCCAGAACACTACCAATATAGTGGTATAACACACACAAGCGTCAAGGCCTTTGAGCTCTCAGCACTGAATCTAGACTCACATGCACCGCATCTGATGCCACGAGTTTGAGATGAGATCACCCAAGTCCCCGTCTGCTACAGGGCCATCTCCGCATTAACAGATTAAGCTTCATCGGTGAACCCCGCAACCTCCAACTCTTCTGGTCCTAGCCCCTTTGATCTTTGCCAAGACGGGGCTTAGATCGATGCCAAGGCCCATTTTTCTCGGCACGAACGGCACATAAGAAGCCATGATGCCCCGGCCTCGTCCTCCCCTTCATCATCACTCATTTGCCTGCGCTCCTTCGCTCTCGACTCACGAACCCACCTCTGGCCTGATGTTGCTCGCTCCCGCGGGTACAATCCCTGAATCTGAATCGTCCCGCGGACAGAATTCGTCGATTTCTAATGAAGAGACTTCCCGCGGTTGGGGAAGAATTCGCTCACCAGCTGAAGTCTCGAATTTTTATTGTTTTCTCCCGCTCTCGGAATCTCTTTCTTTTTGAACTCTCCGAATTTCCAGACGATTTTCGACGAACATGGCGAATTATTGCCTATGAGCTGATACTTCAATTCCCAACGCTTTTGAGAGGAAATGACAAATCGCTATTCTGCCATTCACATTTCGCGCTGCATCAAAACTAGGAGTTGGCTCATGGAAATGCGCTTATTCTGGTGCGGCCTCGAAGAGTTCCCGTGCGGCTGAAAAATCTCAGGCATTTCCCGTGGTAAGATAAGGCTCTGACCAATGACGGCCGAACCAGTTACCCTAGGGACGACAATTCAGTTATAATTAATTCTTCAATGACATAAACTCCAAATTGCAGAAAAGTATAATTAGAAAAATACGAAGTAAATATCATGGCTTATTTATGCTTTTTCCGTTGTGAAATGTTACTACATGCTGTAGCTGTAAATGTGTTGTTTTTAAGCAGAGTTAATGTTGGAAATGAACAGTTGACGAAACGCACACTTGAGCAATACATCGCCAATATCGATAGACAGCCTGATGCGATCAAAGACATAAAGCTAAGAGTTAGATAAGAAGTTGGTATTTATTCTCTCACATGTGACGCCAAGATCATAATCAACTCTCCCACCCCTTCACTTACGAGTTTGAAAGTCTTGGATTAGACTGTCAACTGCCTGGGCCACCTCCCTAGGTCGAGAAATCTGTGGACTATGCCCAGATCCCTCTAAGACACGCGTATTCCAAGCTTCACTCCCTCCGCTCGAAACAATCATGCTCTCCTGGTCTGAAAGAGGAATGACAGCATCCTCTGTTGCCTTGATATACGCCAAGCGACCTTTGTATGACTCTTCCTGCCACGCTTGAGGAGGGACGATCCCCATATTCGCAGCCATGCTCTGTGGCTGCAACTGTGACAGTGCCCATTGTGCCTGCTCGTCTGAAACATCGGGCCGGTAGAGCAGACTACCAGGGTCTTTGGCGACAAAGAGTCCCGGAGAGGGGGTATCCCAATTGACATAAGGAAGACCGCCTAAGCTGCGAATAACAGCGCCTTGATCCATGCCTCCAGGGAAAATGTACCCGCAGAGATTGATGAATCCCAGAACTCCACCTGGTAGATTGTTCCTGGCTCGCTCCGCGACAGACAGTCCGGTGATAGCCCCGCAACCAATTGGTCCACCATAAGAATGAGCCAGCACGACGACTTGTTTGGCTTCCGCTAAAAGTGGTTCCAGGACACTTCTCACATGCGCTGCATCGCCCAATTGTGTCTCGCCCGCTACACCGGATACTGAAGGCAGATCCAGATTCTGAGTGGTATATCCGAGGGACTCCAGCTCAGGGATTTGGTACTTCCAGACCCAGGAGCCATGCCAGGCGCCGTGGACGAGAAGGATGGTGGGCTTTTGGGTGGACGACATGTTGCCACACAATTGGGAGAGTCGCACAGAAGATAAAGACAGTTAATGATTCGTGAGATGTCGGAACGTCGGTGTTGCTGTGAAGATGCGCGAATAAGCCCAGTTGGTATCCGTAGACTATAATCTTACGGATTACGTCACAGATACAGACAATTGAGGCTGGCCTTGGCTGCCAGGGGGAGGCAAGAAAATTTAGGACGTTTAACCTAAATGACAAAAAGGCTTAGGTGAATTTAGTATAACTTAGTACAGACCCAGTGGACTTTAGATTACTCTAGATTAGGTGTTTTTGGCATCTTAGGTTTAACATGATTTCTTGGGACTGGACACCTTGGATGCACTAAGCCAGAATCAGGCAGCAAGACCCTTGATCGTCCAGAGGAAAAGCGACCTTGGCGATGATTGGTTGTTCCCCACGTGGGGCTCCGCCTCGCCAGGACCCTTGTCGAAGTTTCGACATTAGTTTCACTAGTCGCTTGAGCCTCATTGACGTCGACAGACCTCGTTTATTCATTTTCTTGGTTCAACAGTTATGAATCTACTGAACAAGATCAAAGAAGGTGATTAAACCGATAAGCATCGTGGATCAATTCAGAATGATCCCTGATCTGCTGTGCATCAGATAGCGAGTTGACGACGAGTGTAATGATACCATCTCTGCGGTCATCCAAATGGAGAGCGACGATGAGTTTGAAGATGTCTTCTTCTCTTTTCTTGTACCTGGCCCGGAGGCCGAGCGTGGTCTGTGACCTGAGACATCCAGGATCATATGGAAGGGCGACAGAGACCTTGGCCTTCTTCTTTCTGTTGTCGCGTCTCATTCTGTCCGTTGACACTCGTGAAGTAGTGTCAGCGATGATCTCAGTGCCATGGGCTCTCATCTCTCTGACAGTGTGGGCATGCTGAGAGAGCGACTGACCGGGTCACAGTGTCCTTGGTCGAGGCGGCCGGGCTCCAGAGCCCATTCTCACAAATGAGGTCATAGAACTCTGACCACTGGGGATGGTCATGCGGCTTGAGGGCTAGCCAGGGCTAACAGGGCGAGTATTCGCCAGGGTGTTTGAAGATGAAGGAAGACAAGAAGTCATGATGACGGTTGAAGATATAGTGAGAGATAAAATGAAAGAGAGAGTCAACTCAAAGATTGTGGGATGTAAGACTGACGGTGACGATATGCCAGGTGAGAGAGCCTACGAAAGAGCATTTTGGGCTGATGAAGTTTTAAACGAAATCTGGATCACTCACCTAATCGCACTGCTGAACAAGGCTCAAAGAAGATGAGGTTAGAAGAATGAAAACCAAAACGAGCACATCAAGCAATAAGTTTGCCGAAGGCGTTAAGCCTACGATAACTTCTATCGCCAGAAGCTTTTGCAAACCTTGTATGATAAAGACTTCCCAAAATGGTTTGTTGACATCATCGGGCGTGTACTTTCACCGCTCTGCGTTTGCCCGGCATCATCTCTGAACGCTTTGGAATGAACACTGGAATTCCCCAAGGTTCACCACTCTCTACCGTCCTCTTTTACTTCTTTGTTTCCCCTCTCGTGGAACGAACGTTCCCTCCCCGACGCATCTACGTTGACGGCAGGAAGGAGACTGTCCACCTATACCAGTTCTCTTGTGTAGATGACATCTACTTCATTGCTGTCTCTGGGATCTACGAGATCAACTACAGAGGACTTGAAATCCTTCATGAGCAGGTTACCCATCGCCGATGAGCTGTTCATCAGGTTTGGTGTTCACAAGTACCACGTCATGCACATGAGACAACCAACCGTTCGAGAGCCGGCCCATAACCAAGTGAGGCCCATGATGAAAGGTTTCGTCGAGGAAGTCCAGGAGAAGATGATCATCCTTGGTGTGTTAGTGGACTCTCAGATGACTTTTGACCTTCATGTAACCGAGATCATCAAGAAGTGCAGACGGAGGCGGGTTACATGAAGCGAATATCGGGGAGCACGTGGGGCCCTGACATGTATGCAGTCCGTCAAAACTACCTGACGTTGATTCGTCCTGTCATTACCTACGCTTGTGGAGCTTGGTCCATCAAGCAGCGCAAGTGCGTCAGCACACGTCTGAACTTTGGCCTCAGCACCAAGGTGATTGACCGGAATGATAGCACCATTGGATTCAAGCGTGGCATTGTGTGCATCCTCCGCCAAATTAGCTCGAAGAATACATCCGAGATATCTAAAGCTACCAATGAGGTTCTTCCGGGGTTGACAGATTCGGCTTCACCTGAAGAGCTTTTCGATATGTAGTTCGATCATTGGGATATCCCGTCGCCCGCTCGGCTCAGGGAAACTGCGGAACATCTGCAACGGCATCGCTTCTTGGATAGCTTAGGCAGCTGGCTTCCGATCCAAAGAGATGATCCGAGATGGTGTGATGCAAAATACAAGGGACCAAAGTATACATAGCGTCGAAAATACTGGTTCTCGGCAACAGCTGTCGCTATAAGATTTCTCAACCGTTTATCATTAACCCAATGCGGATATCTGCACAAGCTGGTACTAAACGAAGACAGGATTTCAGTTGGTTTCTCTGAGTCCCATGCTATTGGACTGATTCCCTTTTTTAAACAAAACCCAAAGCTGCATGTTGAACAGTGGGTCGACGTCTGGCAAAACCTCGTCATGGGCTCCGAACAGCCAAGTGCCTACGGACCGAACGGCATAATCTTTGAACGGAGCGAGCCACAGCCCGGAGAGTTCCACTTCCTGGACTCAATCTCTGGACCAGACCAGGACGTGGCCTTCTCTAATTGGGTTGTGCATGGATTAGAAGTTGTGAAAGCGGGAATGCCTTTCCGGGTCTTGGTCCGTTATTTTTGATGGAAGTCCCGACCTAAACCTCGCTACCGAACTGTTTACCACTCTTCTCCAACGTACCATTGTCTGGCAGACCTTCTACACCGACTGTGTTTCCTTGGGTCTTTTTACAGACCCGAGCCACTGTCACATCAGACGAGAGAGCTTCTGAAAGCAAGAGAAGCACAATCTTTCAATGCAGCTTCAATCTCGATCGCCCTTGGAACCTAGATGAGATAGCCGCCAGTCACAACGTACACAATGGGGACTTTAAATGGAAATTGGATTATTGGTTGGAATGTGAAATTAGTTTGAACTCCGAGCCTATCAGTTTTCCCATGTTAAGCCCGACAATAGACCTTGAAAAACTACGGCTTGGTTGCTTTGAGCGGGAAAGGATAGCAGATGATTGACTCGCAACCCATCTGGACAGAAGTATTAGGAGGATACAATCAGTTTCTCAGGGCAATCAACAAATGGCAAATCGTCGTTCATAATGGCAGTGTCAGTTGGTACTACATTTGCAGATAAATTTCGTTCCATCCCGAGACACTCACAGAATTGCACTCGTATAAAGCATACAAATTTAACTTGCAAAAGACCATCAGTGACGCATAAATCACTTATCATGACGCGAAGATCCAGATGAACCAGATCCCTCTGAAAGCTGACTGAGAAAGACTAACTCGAACTCATGTAAGCCTCAGGGACCAAGAAAGTTTCCACCATCGAATCAGCATGCGAACATAAATTGGTCTAAAGGCTTGCTGAGATATACTAAACTTACCTAACCCAAGTCTTTTCATCACTTAGAGACGAGTTTCCTTGCCCCCCTCTGATAAGATAAGGCCTGACCCACTCTGTGAGTCACGAAAACGCGCTAAGTCAAGCAGAGTCTAGACCAATCCCAGCCTACCGATATTAGCCTTTCGTGACCCATTGAATTGCGAGACACGATTGGACTTCTCGTAAATCTGAAAGCAAAGCCCCATTTCCATCTCAGCCACTTTACTGCAATTTCTCACCAGCCTCGGCGCTCTCATTGGCATAAAATAATCTCGCCAGTACCTTTCACCTCCAATTTGCAGTCTCGTAACAAGCAGAAGGACCTTTTCTTCCCTACAACCATGACAGCCAATCACATCGTTGCAATGAGAGGCAAATTCAAGCGAGCCTCGACTCCCAAGGTGAGAACGGGATGTATCACCTGGTACGTTGATAGCTTACCGCTTCGTTTCTCGTAAAATATCACTAATTGGGAAGTACTGTAGCAAGTGAGTCCAAATATTCTCTGATGATCTCCTATAAAAGGCTCATACCTTTCCTACCTTTAGAATCAGGCACTTGAAATGCGATGAAGCAAAACCTTTTTGTCGACGCTGCCATAACGACAAGATGAAGTGTGACGGATACGCACCACCTAAGCCCAAGACTTCAAAGCGCTCCAAGCGTCGAGATCCTTCCTCGAAACCTGAAGTCGCCATCTCACTGCCGCTGCTATCTATGCAGACCGTTGACCAACTCTATTTGTTATCAGACCCTGAAAAATTCTACCTGCAACATTTCCTGCACTGGACAGCAAAACAGCTTTCACCTTCTTCTGCTGCCATGAACTTCTGGCTCAAATACGCCCTCCCAATGTCATATCACTACGATGCCATCAGGTATAGCATGATTGCGGTCGGGGCATCTCATCGAGCCTACATGGCTCAAAGCCTGCCGTACTCCCGTCCTGATCGCCTGCAGCGTCCTGTCATCCAACACTACAACAGAGCCATATCCTCGATTCTTCCCATAATGTCTGCTCCTTCAAATGAGAATATTCATTGCATATTGATCTGCTGTCTGCTCTTCATGACTTGTGAGGGACTGACTGGTCGGTACGATGAACTCTTGCAACATCTCGCTGCTGGCGATACGGTATTCCAGTCACTACGTCACCAAAACTCCTCAGATGCCTCGGATGTGCTAGAGGGACTTGTCGACATGTTTAGCGAGATGGGCCTTGCATCTTCGGGCTTCATGGGAGACCATCCTCTCTCAGGCATCAAAAAGTGGTGTCGCAGTGACCCTGAGACCGAAGCAAGCGATGATTCACCTTTTAAGACGCTGAACAAGGCATCATATGCCTTACACGAACTACGACTAAATCATGACTTCCAGCCATGGAATCCGGATAGGGAAGACGGGTTGGCCAACGACAATGCATTTGAGGATAGGCTCCGCCGTTGGAATTCCCGTTTCGAAGTTCTGAGCCAACGATTGTTATCAAGCCCATCAGATGATGAGATAGCGCATATCCAAACTCTGCAGCTCCACTATCAATCTCTGCAGATGTATATCAACGCGTACGATAACAAAGGACTGCAACCTTCACACCCATACAAAGCATTCATTGAGGCCGCAGAGAAGGTAGCCGCCCCTCTAATAGCGATAGATCAACCTACGTTCTCACTAGACGGATGTCTGGTCTCGGGTCTATCATTTGTTGCTATATCAACTGAAGGTGGGGATGAGAAGGTGCAAGCACTTGACCTCCTTCGGAAGTTGAACCACCGTGAAGGCATTTTCGACAGCAATGACATCGTTGAGATGCATGAACTGGTAGCCATGGATATGGATTGGGGATCTGGCTCTGACTCTGATTCGGATACTGATATAGAGGAACCTGATCCACCTCTTAGAGCACCGAAAGGAATACCGCAGATGATTGAGGTGCTTGCTCGCAAGACTGGGAAGACAAGCAAACGGCTGGAAGGCTTGTACCCATAAGTAGATCCAAGGCTCGGTTTGAGCTACACATTTAGCACATCTCCTTAGTCATTCGTCAATTCATAATCTCTTTCCATGGCATATTAGAATTGATGAAGAAGAAGAGTGATAGAACTCATTGATGCAAGGTCCTTGTAAATCTTCGATGCTGCCTTCTCGGATCTCCTTACAGAGTCTCTTATAGCCATTAAAGCAGCTAAGCTATAGGTATAGGTCCTAAGGCAGCAGTGCGATATCACTTAGTGTAAGATATATTAAGAAATAAGGAGGTATTATAGGCTAATTATTAATTAATTATTATATAATAGAAGTTATCTTAAGAATATTGTCTTAAGTTAATAGACTTACTTATATTAGGTATTTTATCTTATATATTTTTTATAAGCATTAAGCTAGATTATCTTAATAAAAAAGCAATAGGTAATTACTTATTTATATACTATTAGAGATAATTATTATAATATCTAATTTTTCTACTAAAAGTAAGATATTAAGTACCAGGGAGGGTAAGAAGTATATTACCTATATATATTAATTTATATTCTTTACCTTTATGTTAAGGCTGAAGCCTCTTTTAACCTCTCAACCTTATCACAGCAAGGTCCTTGTCCTGTCATAGGTTTAGATGGAATAGAGTAATACCTCCGTTTCATATCCAAGTCTTAGTGTTGCGTTGCCTGACGAAAGCAACTATTCATTCAAAATCTCCAACAATGAGCTAGGAAAACTATAACTCAGGGCTTTCGATTTGATTTACAGCGCCAGGGACTATGGGAATGCGTGACACTGATTCATCCTCGGCAGCCCTGAGAGAGGGACGAATTCGGCCTTTCAACTGCTAGTAGTGAAGACTGAACTCATCGCAATAAAAAGAGCTAGAGATTTTCTATATAGATCTTACTTTGCCGCTCTGAACTTAGTCTCAGCTATATGTACTAGCTATTCCTAATGTCACTCTGAACGAGCGCCAGCTGGGAGAACGTGTCAATTTCGACAACGTACAACAAGATATCATCCTTCCCATTCGGCACATCCATCCATTCTGACTAATGGCCAACTATATGGATAACTTGCCTATCATGTTGCTTCACATGGTTTCGCATGATGCCAGCTTTACATAAGCTCTATAGTGACATAGTCGATTAAGCTTGTATCATTGGTGCATCAAGGCAGAAGTTCAGAGTAGGTTCAGCGCCATGAGATATTAATGTAATGTTTACAACGTTATGTTCATTTTAACTATCGACAAGTGAAAGGCTATGTACAAGGTTTGAAGACAGCACAAGATCCGGCTATTTACAGACTCATCCACCAGCTACTGAAGCTACTTACAGTGTCTTCTTGGCCCAGCCAACCTGCTGGTTACCGCCATCGAAGACGACGAAAGCAGCCTTGAGAGCAATATCACCGAAGATGTTGATGCCGATGTCATCGCTGGGCTGGATACCACCAAGGCAGGTAGTAGAGCCATCCTGAACGGGGGCATAGTTGATGTAAGAGCCAGGGATGGTGATGGTAACACCGCCAACGACGAAGCTGAAGCTGGGGAGGGTAGCAGAGCAGCTGAAGACATAGCCACCATAGCTGGAGCTGTATCGGGCACCGCTGACCTTGGCGTAGTATGCGGAGTTGACATCGTCGGGGAGGAGGAGAAGAGTGGTACCGGTATCAGCAATACCAGTAATGGGGCTCTTGTTGACTGCGGCCGAACCGATACCATAGCCAGTGGAGGTAAACTCCCAGAAGCCCTCAGAGGAGTCGACGGAAGCGTATCCAATCTTGCCAGTGTAGGCTGTGCTGTCGATGAAGCCGAAGTTGTACTTTCCGGGCTTCTGGTGCTTCAGATCAGCAGTGAAGACGGGAGAGCCCAGGGTGCTGGCAGCATTGTCGAAGAAGGTCTTCTGCTGGGTAGGCGTGACGGTGTTGATGGAGCTGAAGCCAAGACCGAGGAGACCATCGAGGCCAGTCTCTTGCTCGAACTCGGAAGAGACCTTCTGAGCGGCCTCGACGGCTTGAGAGCTAACAACGAGGCCACCGACGGAGACCTTGTCCTTGTAGACATCCCCAGAAGAGGAGCTTCCGTCACCATAGCTGATCTTCCATGTAGCGCCAGAGAGCTTCTTAGCTGTACTGCTCTTGGCAGGGTTGTACTCATCATGACCGCTGCTACCAGTTGTCTCAGTGCTGAAGACCCAGAGATCAGAAGAGCCAGTGTCGAAGTCCAGGTTGAAGGTCTGAGCAGGAGTACCGATTTGGACGGGTGTCAACCACTCGACATCCTCGTCAGAGGGTGTAGTGGTGGCACTGCCGCTGCCACTCTGACGCTTAGAGTGAGCGTGAGGAGGTCTCACGGCCTTGACAGCCTTCTCAAGACCCTTGGGAAGAGGAACGCCGTACTTGGCGTAGACGTGGGCGAGAGCGAGAGGACCGTTCTTGATGAACTTGGGGTTCTTGACTTGCTCAACGGTGAACTTCTTGTCCTGGGCAGCAGGGGCGCCGAGGGCGATGGAAGCAAAAGCCAGAGAGGCTGTGAGAAGAGCGTTGATGGAAGGCATCTTGATATCGGTGAGAGGCTTAGAGATAGAGATAAGACCAGAGAAGAGTGAGTGAGTGATGATGATTTATTTCCAAGATGAATGGTTCATATCCCGACTTATATATCTTGGCTGACTCGACGGAGTCTGACATTGATCGAGACATTCCGCCATACCACCAGTTGGTGATGCTTCATCTATCTCTCGCTCACACCTCGCTCGGCTTCCAACATCCGAGCCACCTTCCGAGAAAAGACCTACATGGCTGACGTGATTAGTCCCTTTGATCCGCGCGATAGATGCCGGACCTAATTCCTTGGCTGATCTGTCTATGCAGCCTCCCGTCCTTGGCATCTGTTTGGCTTCTTGGCTGCTTCCATCAATCGTGGCAGCCATGAGGTGGATGCCCCACTAAGTCCCAGCGACCCCTTTACCTAACAAAAGGTCTTTCCCAGGCATCTTGATTGCAGGAGCGGAATAAGAACGTCTAGTAAACAACGAGCAGTTCCGCCGCGGCGCGACAGGGGTGCATCACCAGTCTTGGCTTAAGCACCTACCGAGAAGGGATGCTACCGCCGATTATGTCCGGAGAATTCGGCATTGCTAAGGCCCTGATAGGGAGTTGGATCGGGACTCGGCAATGGGAGCGGAGGGACGTTTGTTATGGGTACAGCTGAGACCTAGGATCTATCCGTGATTAAACTGCTTTTGTAAAGGAACTATTGGTTAGTTTATCATGTGAACTCTCAAGATATAACCGTTCTAAAACGAGCAGGGTGGTAAAGAGGTGATGCTATTGGTTGAGGCGGCGGTTACGATAAGCGTAATGAACAAGTTAGATTTCGTGATGCGGATACCCCTGCAGATCATGCCTTATCCGCTCTTAGTCGCGTGGGTTAGTGGTTGCTGGACGGCATTGCTCCTTTGGCCCAAGATAACATTAAGTCATGCGTTGATGACCTCTTGACCCCGGATGAGTCGCTTCGAAGCTTCTATGCAGATCATTTTGGAGGACGTGCGCCAAGAGCGATTTACTTTCACAACCAGACAGAATGTCACGCTGAAAATGAGCTTGCAGCTAGTGAATATTATCGGTACTAGCAACATTCCTCGACACAAGCAATCAGAAAATAGTCATAACATCAAATTGAATTGATGCGATAAATGGCATCGTGCATTCCTCGACCCCGGTCGAATATTAATAAGAAACCGGAGTTCATTAACGATTCAGGGTAACTAGCGACATCATGGCCGAGGTCTCTCATTACCCCTGTCAGGATTTCGGACGAATACAGGGATGCGCCAAGCTAAACGCTTTGATACACCACAGCACTAACAAAGTCCCCAAAACCAAGCTAAACTGAGACAAGTGCAAAAAGTCCTGTATTATCATTCTTGGACTATAGTTGATAAGAGATGTTGCAATCACTATGGCTGTGACTCCGCCAATGAGCACATAGTTTCCGCAACCTCATTGTAGAAAGCCCGTATTACCGATCCCTCCCTATGGTCCAAATCGCCGTTCAGGCAACTCCTTACCGCCTCTTGATACTCTGTGCCCATGAAGTGAGCTAGTCTGTCGTCTACCCTGCTGAACAGCACTTCTTTGAACTTGGCGGGGTTTTCGTCGTCGCGACGTAAACTCCACGCTACGCGCCATAGACCAACTTCGAGAAGGACGACGCCGAGACTGTATATGTCGAAACCTTTGCGGTATGATTCACCCGGAATTCCTTGTGCGGAAGGATGACGATATAGATTGAAACGGACGCTTTGCTCTGGCTTTTCAGTGGTCTCGTCGGCTAAATCTGGACGTGAGAATTCAAAGCCAACGAGGTATGGCCGAGACCAGATGGGCTGATTGCGCCGCACGGGAATCATGATATTATGGCTTCTGATACTCTTATGGAGCCATCCTGATGCATGAAGGATAGCTAATGAGAGTGATAGCGTGTAGGCCATACGATATCGATCACCCAATGTTGGAAGAGTCTCAGGCCTTGGTGATTTGATCAACGCTTGTAGAGATACCAGATCTGTTTGTTCACTGGTTCCTAGGGGATATTCGAAGACAAGGCCATATCGACTATTCTCAATGTCTTCAAAAACTCCCAGACAGTTGAGAGTCAAAAGTTCTTCGGGCTTTGCATCAGCGTGCAAGAGTCGTGCAATATTCTGGATTCTTCCTCTGAGTCTGATCCCTTTCTGTCCTTTCCAGGTAATGTCGTACCGTTTCCACTCGACAACTATCGGAGTCTTGGAGTCAAGCGTTCCAAAGCTTCTTAACCCACCAGCGACATCATCATCTTTCAGAACTTTGACTCTGTCTGAGCGAATAGTGAGATCGGCATCACCAGTACTGCTTTTAAACGCCGCGACTCGCTTTTCCAAGTCTTGATCTAGCTCATATCCTAGTTGGCGAAAGTTGATAGCTCGTTTGAGCTTATCAGGCTGTATCACATGCTGAGTCGAGCCGCCGTCCTGGAATAGTACTTGCTGATCAATTCCGATATGCTCCAACGATAGCACAGTTTGCGACAGTGCAATATTTGGATCACGAGTTGGTAGTAATCGATACAAGTCGCTTAGGACTGCGCTTATCTGCACAAGCGTCCTATCGTGTTCTTCCGCCCCACCAGTCACCAACTTCAGGCGCTCGAGTGCAAGTTCTGATCTCGAGGCCTCACGAAGTGGTTCCAGTGATTCAAGTAGTATTTTGACTGTTGTTAATGAGGCGAGAACAGCATCTTTGTGTCTCTGAAGAATCCGTTGCTTCTGGATGTCGATTCGCTTAGAGGTCGGTTGATCAAGCCAGTCTCTCTGCCACTGGCCTAACAACGCCTCCTGGAGTATGAGCTTAGTACGTAACAAGCCAAGATAGCCATCGAGACCGCGTAGTGATTTCCAGAGATCATAAATCTTTGCGCAGGCTGTGAAGGCGTCTATCAGGCCACCGAATGCCCCGATTCCGAGACCGGCCGCTCCGACCTGGAAATCTACTAAATCGCTCACCATGTTGATCTTTGATCAATCGCCAAACAGACACGTCGGATTTCTGATGATTTCAAGAATGATACCAGGAATATGAGAGCTTGAGCCGCATCATATCAGCTGCGGGGTTTATGCATCTTCGTGGCGGGGTAAATTGATAATCCGGTGAGGCCTGCAAGCTGAGGTCATGTGTCACCTCAGCATCATGATACTCAGCTCGAGGGATTTATGAGATGTTGCATGTTTTTCATCCTGTAGTATAATC